CTGCATGCCATCTGCCACTTCTCCATCAGTCTTAGCGCCATTTATCTGAAGACCATCAACTATTTTTTCGGCTGTATCGGCCATCTCTGCTTCGACTACATCTTCTCTTCTTCCCAATGAGGCATCTTCTTCACCTTCTTTCCTTTCTATAACGACAGAAACAGGAGCAGATTCTCCACTTGGCTTAGATTCGGCATTTGGGTTCTCTGCTATCACCCTATATCTGTAAGTGCCACTTTTCTGTAGTGAACGATCAACGAATGTGGTCTTGTCAATTGTAACAACTTCAAGCCAATCGTTAGACTCATCTCTTCTCTCCAGTCTATATACCATAGCATCCATAACTGGATTCCATGCCACAGTTATTTTACCTTCATCACGCTCTACTGAAGGAGCACCTGGAGCGTCTAAAAGAACTAGCTCAGGCAAAACTCCATCCACTGCTTCTTCTTCCAGAGTGATGATGTCAATAAGCTGACTTGGCGGTCCTTCTCCAACTTCATTCACGGCCATCACACGGAAACCATAGACTTGTTTCGACATAAGACCTTCCGCTTTGAAGACGAAAGTGTTCGCATCGGTTTTGCCCACCGTTCGCCATCTGTTGCTTTCAACTGCTCTTCGCTCAATTACGTAACTAGTAACGTCAGCTCCATTTTCCTCTTCAGGTGGACTCCATGATAGAATGGTCGATTCTGCTGTTATTTCTCTGGCTTCCAGGTCGAGAGGTTCACTGGGAACGTCAATAACATTGAGAGACAGTTCCTTCTGCGCAGTGCCGGCAACATTTTCGGCAGTGATTCTAATGGTGCCAATATCGTTTTGCGTTAGATTCTTCATGCGCACACTCAAGACATCCTCGTACTCTTCGACATTGACTTCAGGTCGGCTTTGAATACGCTCGTTCTTGTGCAAAATTGTTATTAAAGGTTGTGGATTTCCGTAAGCTTCTACGTGGAAGTCCAGTTCAGCATCAGCGTGCAAAGTGATCTGTTCACCGAGATTTTCTGTAATCTTGATTTCTGGAGCGACTTCTAATTCTATATGGGCAGGAGCAGAGGACTCCTTTTCGCTCAAGACGGCGTAGTAGTCTCCAACATCGGATCTGTCGAAATTCAGGATTACAAGTGTGGATGTGCAGTCAATAGTTTCTATCAAGTATTTGTTCATCTGTGCCCATATTTCCTTCTTATTTCGGAACCAAAGCACTCTATGCACTGGTTTTGTCAATTCGCATTTGAGCTCCACTGTTTTGCCAAACTCTCTAATCGTGTCGTCTTGAGGTCCAACTCTGATATGCGGTTCCTCTTCTAAAATTAGTAATCGTTTTGAAACAGCATTTAATGTTCAGCAAGTTCTGAACTTTCGAAACCAAATTGTAACCTCTTTTCTTACCTTTAACAAGAAGCTCTCCTTCAGTTTTGCTTCTACCATCTGATGTTTCGCAACGATACATACCGCTATCGGAATCATTAGCACCAGTAATTTTTAGTGTTCTGCTGGTATCCTCAGCCGAGATAGATATGTGATCATCATCCTTCAACACCTTCCCGTCCTTGTACCAAACTACTACACCATCCTTGTCTGACAAAGTGCAGCGGAGTTGAATATCCTGACCCTCAGTTGCCTCGATGTATTCGGAAAATGAGGATTCGAAATGGCATCGGACATCTAGAAAAGGTAACATTGTTTTTGAAGTGGGATGAAATTCTACTTACCGCTGATTTGAATCTTTGCGGAGCAGCTCGTTTTTCCATGCTCGTTTTCTACCTCACACATATAGTTACCGGCGTCAAAAGCTTCGACAGAGTGAATTTTAAGGAAGCTCATGTAGCCTTCATTTACAATCTAAAAAACTTTGAAAAATATATGTTGTACTTTTTTTGCTCATTGAGGGTTGCATTTCTTCACCATTGATATACTAGTGGACCAACTCGGAACAAACTTACCTCAGTATTTGAGTTTTCAGGTATGATTTCAACCCCATCCTTGAACCATACATACTCAGGAGCAGGTTCACCATTTGCGTGACATTCAAGATGAAGTGTGCGTTTCCGTGGGACAGTCACATTCTTAATCGGTTTGATGATGACGGGAGCAACAGCAGCTGAAAGTGGAAGCTATGAGAATGGCTATGTGATTAAATCTGAATATTTTTGAATTTTCCACTTACGCATAATTTTGATTGGTTGAGTTTCTTCCGAGTATTCACCTATCCCTTGTTCATTTATCGGAGCAACCTTGAAGACGTAGGAAACGCCTTCTTTCAATTCATTTATCTTGCAAGAGTTGGTTTTGCAGGTGACCTTAAGTTAAGTATATCCAACACATTCTTACTCACTAGGACTAAACTGTTGTAATATACCTCAGTCCATACTGATGAGCTTTCGGATTTGTAAGAGAGTACGAATTCCGAATATGCCACATATTCGTCAACATCCCACTCAACTGTGACGCTCTCCAACCCAGTAGTGATGACTCGCGGTGTAGGAAGGATAGTGGTGGGAACATCTAAGGGAATCGTTTTCGTAGAGCAAATTAGATCTATGGACTTCTGCTAGAACGGATAGGCCTTTATCCGTTCCAGCAAAATGCTCGTTCCTTAGAAAGTTATTGGTTGCTTCTATACTGATTCACCATGTTCTTTGTCAGCAACGAAAAAGTGTAAAATAAAGCTTGTAAATGCATCTTCTACGCAAAATTCTGATTTTGGAATCTTATGTAGTTAGTGCGCATTTTAGATGCTACTAAAGGAGTCCAATGACTTATAAATGTTATTGGCATTGTTGTGAAATTAAGAAGGAAAAGCACGAAGAATTTCAGCAAATCGGATTTAGACTTCTCTCTCTTTCACGAGAACTTTTCATCAAACATAAATCATGACAGAAAGCGAACTCACCGAGCGTCGCTCTGATAAGGAGCGGCTCTGATTCAACATTTGACGACGAAATGAAACCGGCTTCGTTATGAGCTTCCACTTTGAATACATAGCTGATGTTCGGTTGGAGGTTTTTAACGGTGAAGTGCTCGTGGAATTGAAGTTCATCGTTTATCTGGAAGCAAAATTACTCTCTTTTTCCCATGCTTCTTTATTTGTGGAAGTTGCAGCGTTTTGCTTTTTTTATAAAGAAAATGTTCAGCCAGCCATGCCTTTATTGATAATTAACGAAACTTTGCTTTTTGATTAATTATGGAAACTAGGTTGCAAGAAAGTATGGAAAAACCCTTATAAGCCTTGAACTTGTAAAGATTAAAGATCTTGCCTTAATCCAATTGCCACCGTTTTCTTTCCTGTATACGTCGTAGCCATAGATTGGCGATTCACCATCATGTGCTGGCTTCTCCCAAGAAAGTGCACAGGTATTTCCGGAGACTTGGGATATAATTGGCGGTTCAGTGATTTGTGGAGCTGTGTACGGTGTTCCAGTTGTAACCTGGATAAGGATTTATTCATCGGAAGATGAATTTGAGAAGAAATTACTTTCATTCTTTTTTGGATTTATCGGTGAAGAAACGTACCACAGGCGTATCAGTTGGTTCCCCAGCTCCATACTTGTTCACAGCAGATACCCTTAGGATGTAGCCTGTGACCATTTCCAGATCTTCTACGGTGTATGACGTTTTAGAAGCCGAAACCTGGAATGAACAAGATCTTCTCTGAAAGGCAGATTGTGTTTAAAGTGCGATATAGATACGATTTTTGAGTGAAAATTCAACAATTTGTATAACGACGTCTTACCTGAGCAACCTTATGGAACGTTCTACGACCGTCCTCCTTCTTCTCAACGATGTAACCAGTTATGGGTTGCCCTCCATCATTTTCTGGCGCTGTCCAGGCAATAGAGATTGCTTCGCTTTCAATCTCCGTAACCGAGACGCTTTGTGGTTTTCCAGGAACATCTGCAATCACGGAGATCAAAAGAGAAATTTTTTCAAAGCTATTATTCTTTACCTTTGACGCGAACTGTCACAGTTTCAGAGTCTTCCCCAATCTCATTAAAGAGTTTGATGGTGTATTCGCCCGAATCTGCCTTTTTCACATGCTTCTTGCAGAAACGTACAATATCATCGCTCATATCAATGTGTATCTTCGCGTCTTCTCGAAGTGCCGTTCCATTGAAAAGACATGAGACTGTAGGTTCCTCGTAGCATTCGAAAGGTACGTTAAATATAATATTTTCATCCCTTTCCACTTCGATTATCCTCCTTTCAACTTTCTTCACCACAGGCTTGCCTTGTATCTGGAGATTTGTGTAGCTCTTCGATCCATCAACGACGACATTATACTGGCCGGCATCGCCATAGGTTGCCTCCCTTATAGTTAGGCGGTACACGGTTCCTTCTGCTTCGACCAGGTATTTTTCCGAAGTAGTTAGCATAATATCATTCTTGAACCAAGCCACTTCCTGAGCTTCGTGATCCACTTCGACGCTGAGAACTACGTCTTGACCTTCTCTGCCCGTTGTTCTGCGCTGCAAGCGCTTTATCATTTCAGGATGAGTATCCTCAACGGTGATCTTGGAAATAGCCGAATAATCGCCTAAACGAACTTCAACGATCATGTCGGTATCTCTGGGAGTAAGATCTCGTATGAGTAGTATTCGCATCGGGCCTAAGGACTCTTCAGATGCTCTGGCATCAGCTGCGAATGACTTGTCGTTGATAAACCATTCAACTTCATCATGGTCGTTTACCAATTCGCATTCTAGTCTCACTGTATCACCGCGAAGAGCCAGCACTTCCGCTCCAGGAGTAGAGACAAATCCTTCTTTTCTCATTCTACGCCGAGATATCGTGTAGCTCTCAACACTGGATGCTCCAGAAGATTTTCGTGAAGTTCTACTACTCACTGCCTCGCTGTCGCGTTTGTCGACTTCTCCAGAAAGAACATCAACGGCTTCATCTTCGGGAATTGTTTCCTCGATCAACTGCTTGCGTTTCTTTTCTGGTCTCTTCTCGGGTTCTATTACTTCTGAAGTTTCCTTTACTTCTCCATTCAAAAGCACCTTTATCTCCTCTCCTGTCTGATCTTTCTTTTCTTCAATAACAACTTCCACCTTCTTCTTTAATTTCTTCTTCTTCTTGATATCTTTGTCTTCTTCTGTTTTCCTCTCGGACAAAAGCCCTGCTTCTGGCTTCTTTTCTTCTTCCTTCTTCTCCGATTTTTCCTCCATCACTTCTATCTTCGTTTCAAGCGCAGATTCTTCCTCAGTTTTCTTATTAAGTTTATCTTCTCCTATCATCTCTTTCTTCTTTTCTCCCAGTTCAGTCTTTTTGGGTCTCTTTTCCTCAATCTCTTCCTCCTTCTTTTCCTTCTCTTTTGATTTTCTCTCCTTCATTCCAGGCATGGCTTCCTCCTTGAGCTTTTTCTCCTCGGTCTCTTTCGTCTCTTTCATTTCAGACACAACCTCTTTGGGTTTCTTTTCCTTAACCTCCTCTTCCTTCCTTTCTTTTTCTCTTGCTTCTTGCTTCTTCTCCAGCTCCTTTTGCTTTTCTTTGGGTTTCTCCTTCTCTTTTAACTGCTTCTTTGCGAGCACGGCTTCCTCTTTTGGCTTCTTCTCCTTAGGCTCTTCTTCAGGCTTCTCCTTTTCTTTCATTTCCTTCTTCTTTTCGGGAAGAGTCTCTTCTTTCTTTTCCTCAAACTTCTCTCCCTTCTTTTCTTTTTCTTTTCCTTCTTGCTTCTTCTCCAACTCCTTTTGCTTCTCTTCGGGTTTTTCCTTCTCTTTTACCTGCTTCTTTGCAAGAATCGCTTCCTCTTTTGGCTTCTTCTCCTTAAGCTCTTCTTCAGGCTTCTCCTTTTCTTTCGTCTCCTTCATCTTTTCAGGTACAGCCTCTTCTTTGGGTTTCTTTCCCTCAACCTTCTCTTCCTTCCTTTCTTTTTCTTTTACTTCTTTCTTCTTCTCCAGCTCCTTTTGCTTCTCATCGAGTTTCTCCTTCTCTTTGATCTTCTCTGCAAGCACTGCTTCCTCTTTTGGCTTTTTCTCCTCGGATTTCGCTCCAAGTTTGTCCTTTTCTTTCGTCTCTCTCTTTCCAAGCACAGCCTCTTCTTTCTGTTCCTTTTCTTCAACCTTCACTTCCTTCCTTTCTTTTTCTTTTTCTTCTTGCTTCTTCTCCAGCTCCTTTTGCTTCTCTTCGGGTTTTTCCTTCTCTTTTACCTGCTTCTTTGCAAACACGGATTCCTCCTTTGGCTTCTTCTCCCTAGGCTCTACTTCAGACTTGTCCTTTTCTTTGATCTCCTTCTTCTTTTTAGGAAGAGCCTCTTCTTTTTCCTTTTCCTCAACCTTCTCTTCCTTCTTTTCTTTCTCCCTTATTTCTTCCTTCTTCCCCAACTCCTTTTCCTTCTCCTCGGGTTTCTTCTTCTCTTTCATTTCCTTTTTCTTCTTCCCAATCGCAACCTCTTCTGGTTTCTTTTCCTTTGCCTTCTCCTCTAGCATTTCCTTCCCTTTGATCTCCTTTTTCTTCTCGATCAGGTTATCTTCTTCAGCCTTCGTTTGTTTCTCTGCAAATCTTTCCTTTTCAGCCTCCTCCATCATCTCTGGCTTTTCAGCACCAGGTTTGGGAGGAAGACCAGCTCTATCAGTACTCTTAGGTTTTAATCCAGGCCTTGAACCAACATCCTCTTCTTTTCCTTCAGGGGTCTGTGATCGCCGTTTGAATGGGAATTCGCTGAATTCCTCACTTGGAGTACCTGCTCTTGGTCGAATCTTGCTATCAACTTTTACAGCGACGCTGGCCGATTGTGGTTGCTTAACCGGGGAAATAGCCTCAGCACTTCCTTCTCTTGCTACGATTTTTGTTGTTATGTTTGTTTCAGAAAGAAGTGTGCTTGGCTCACCAAATCTGGAACTGATTTCATCAGGAATTACGAGCGCCTTTGGCACTTTTTTCTTCTTTTTTCCACTCTCTTCCTCAGGGAACTTTTCAATTACTTCCTCTTCGACAGAGATCACTTCTTCAGTGGCCTCTTCCTTTGCCGGTAATCCCTTTTTTGCTTTGACTTTCTTCAATCTCGTTCCCTCTTTTTTCTCCTTCTCCGATTTTTCATCCTTCGTAACAACAGCAACCTCTTCCGAAAACTTTGTCACTTCAGTTGCCGAGTCCTTTTTGACTTTCTGTCCTTCTTTAGGACTGATCTTTCCTTCCTCATATTCCTTCTTTCTTGGCTCTACAGGTTTTTCTGTTGCTGGTTCCTCTTCCTTCAGTTCTTTCCTGTGGACGATCTCTTCTTCAACAATTTTTTTCTTATCAACTTCAATTTCCAACTCTTTCTTTCCCTCCTCTTCTTCCATTGTCTGTTTTGTAACTTCCTCCACGTCTTCCGTCCCTCGTTTTGGAACTCTGACTTGCTTTTTAACGGGTTTTTTTCCCGTTTGGTCCATTGTTTTAAGTAGTTCCTAGAAAAATTCAGTTTTTTTCCCGGATGGACTCATTAAAAGTTTAGCAGTTTATAAGACTTTGGAAACCAACCTCTTCTACCAGTATCTCGGTTATTTCCTCTTCGCGTTTGGTAGGGAGCGTCAATTCTTTCTCAAACAAATCTTCCTCCATTTCCTCACTCTCAATAGGCTTTGTAAACGTTTCCTCCTCGATAAGTTCTTCTGAAAAAAAAAATTGTGCCGCAATGCAATGTTATGGCCATATCATATCTACAAGGACCATACAAAACTTT